ATATATAATTTTATTTATAGTTAAGAACGATTTTATTGATATTGAGAGTGCATTTATAATAAAAATAAATATATAAAATTTAAGAAAACCACCAGTTATGAATTCAGTTATAATAAAACTACATAAACGCAAAAAAATTAAAATTTCAAATAATTATATTTTTAGAAAATCTATAAAAAATAGTTCGCATAATAATTAATTTTTAATTAATTAATTATGAATTAAATAATATTAAAATTAAGTTTGTGTAATAATAACGGAAAAAATTTTACTGGTAAAGACTCCTAACAGTTTATATTTAAATTTTTTATTTTGATATTTAATATAATATAATAAAATAATTGCTTTTTTTATTAAGGTTATTAATTTTTATTAAGGTTTATAATTGATTATTATTCAAAAAACAATTTTTAACCATTTTATTTTATTTTTGTTAATATTTTTATTTATAGCTGTTTTTATTTAAAAGAAAAATAATAATAATTTATTGTAATTAAAGTAAAATTATTTTAATAATATGTTCATATATATTCATATTATTTCACTATTATTAAACTCACAACTGGCTATTTAACTTTTTTTCATATGTTGAGTTGTAATTAATTTTTATTCATTTTTTTTTTTTTGAAAATAAGTTTTGTTATATATTATTGAAATTTTATTTGTTATTCAATTTTTTTCATGTGTTATATTATAATTATTTTTTATTTATTTTATTTTTAAAAAATAATTTTTGTTATGTATTATTGAAATTTTATTTGTTATTCAATTTTTTTCATATGTTATATTATAATTATTTTTTATTTATTTTATTTTTCGAAAATAATTTTTATTATGTATTATTGAAATTTTAGTTCTTTTTATATTAACTTATATCAATATTACATATATATTATATTATTACATTTATTCATTTGCATTAATTGAATAATTTCTTATAGATATCTTATGTTTTTAAAATATTTATCAGAAATGATTTATTTAAATATTTATTTATTGCAATTCCTTTGGTTAGACATTGAAGTATTTTTATTATTTAATTCCATAAATTTTTTTATTTCTTTGATTTGTAATTATTACTATTTATAAGACAGGTAAGACAATGATATACTCAATTAATGTTTTATAATTTATAATAATTTTTAATTTTTTGTTGTTATTAATCATTTAATTTATTTTTATTTTATTATATTTTTTTCTTCTGTATTTTATTACTGGGTTTAGTTTATTTATTATTATTTATTTTTTAATATTATTGTTTTTCATTGCCAATTTATTATAATTTATCGTATTCATTTAAGTAAATCATTTGGAATTTAATTTAGTATTTATTGTAGTGGCATTTTCTAACACATATACTAACACATTAATTAATTAACACATTTTTATTGATTTTTTTTTTTTGATCTGCTAACGACGAATATTTAAAATTTTTTTTTTTGTACAATAATCCTCTCAAAAAATTTTTTTTCTTAAATGATATCTTATTTTGTTAGTAAGCATAGTTTTGTTGACCTGTATATATAAATTATTTTATTAATTATTGATATACATTTTATATTCTTTTTTGTAATAAACCAATTGCATGTTGACATATAATATATATAGTATTTTATGTATTAATTATTATTTTTATTAATTTGAATTCCGTCGTTAGTTTAGTTTAGTTTTTAAGCCATTGTGCTATATTGCAATAATTATTTTATTTATTTCGTTTTCATTTAGAATTGTTTATACATATAAGTTTTTCATGTTATTTATATTATTAATATTTTTTTAAATAATTATGCATTTAATGTTTAACTGTTTATTAGTTACAACCTTTTCTTATATTTCAATTTATTATTTTTAATGTTTATTAATTATACAAACTATTCATCATTAATTAATTTGTTATATATTTAATCATTTTTTTTACAGGCGTACCTTTATTATGACTAAACTAATTTTATTTTTATTGTATTTTATTTTTATTTGATTTTATTTTCTATAATTACAATTATTATTTATTATAATTCGAATTACTTCATTTTTTTTCAATATTTATTTGTTTTATTGTTTTTAATTATTATATTATAATAATTTTGTTTTTTAATATTGAAACTTTTTTTTATTTACTTATATATTATTATTTTATTTTTTTTTTTTATGTTTTGCATTTACAACAATATTTATTTATATAGCATATATTTATTATTTTTTTTACAAATTTTAAATTTTATATGCCGTTTTTTATTTATTATTTATTATCATTACTTATTATTTTTTATTTTATTTATGATATATACTAATTATTTGATCTATTAATTTTACAAACTTTAAATTTTGTATGTCGTTTTTTATTTAATATTTATCATTTATTATTATTATTTATTAGTTATTATATATAAATAAATATATTTATTATAATTATATATATATTTTTTAATCATTATAAATATTATATATTTAAATTTTTTGCAATTTTTTCATTTCGTTAAATAACTTTTATCTTCGGTTTAATTAAGATATATATTTTTTTATTTTTATTTAACTCTTTCTTTGTTATTTATACCACACTATTTTAACTTGTTTTTTTATATTATAATTTTATACGTTTTGTTATTTCATTATTTTAAATTTATTTTTTAATGTTATTATTTCTCATTTACATTATTTTGTATTTCATTTATTTTTACTCAAAACATTTTTTTAAAGATATTTTATATTTCATTATTTTAAATTTATTTTTTATTATTATTATTTCTCATTTTATTATTTTATTAGTATTTATTATTTATTATTATTATTTATTATTTTATTATTTTATATTTAATTTGTTTTTATTTCAAACATTTACTTAATTTTAATAATCATTTATGCATTTTGTTAGTAATTTTTTTATACAGTTTTTAATAATATTTTTTTATATCTTCTATTTTTTCTTGAAGAATTTAATTTCAAATTCTTCGAACTTTTTATGTTACTTAAATTTATTCTTTATTTTTTTTATGAATATTATTTCCAAATAATATTATAAATAAATAATGATTTATTAATTACATATTTTTTATTATTTATATATTTGCTTATTCATAAAAATTGTAAAATTGTTTATTTAAAATTCATTAATTTTTATTTACTAAATTTTTTTTATTTTTGTATTTAACACTTATTTTAACATGTACTAATTTTTTTTTTAAATTTTTGGAATAGGTGCTATAATTAAAAGTTTTTTTTTTTGTTGAAAATTCAATTTAATAGATATTTCGGTACCTTAGATTCTATCTGTTGTATAATAATAACGTTCACAGTGTAATCCTTTTATATCCATAAATAACATGGCCAAATTCAATTACGAAGCATTTGGCTACGATCGTTGCCTAACTATATTTTTTCTGAAACTTATATATACTTTTAATAGAAAAAAAAAAATAAAAATTATGTATGTTGGAGTTAAACCATAAGTCTTAAAAGCTAATGTATTTTGTGGCAATAATAAAAGTTTTGTTGCTACTATTTCTGTAAATTTTGTTGTCCATTCATTACTGTTTCTTATATATCATTATTATGATTTGACATTTACATAATATAAATAAATAATAAATCAAAATTTTTTAACCATCTTAACAATTTTTTTTTTTTTGTTATATACACTGTTTTGCATTGATATTTGATATTTTTTGAAATTGAAATGTTTTTTTTTTCTTAATATTATTAATCAAATCTATTACTTTTTTTGTTTTGATCTATTTTTTTTTTTATTAAAACTTTTTTTTAGTGATTATTTTTATATGTACACATATGTGTATATTCATTCCTTTTGGATAATTTAAGTTACTATTTCTTAATAGAGTTGATTTAAAAGTTTTGTTGAAAATAATCTTAAAAATACCGATGAAAACCTTTAAGTTAACGCAGATAAGCTATATAATTCCATCATTATAAGTGCATTTACGACATGAAGCCCATACCAGCTACAAAAAAAAAATAGATTTCATCTCTAAAAATGGTAGTTTATTTTCTCATATATATTTTTTTTTTTTGTTGTTATGAATTTCTATTGTTCATATTGCGATTTATAACAAATTTTAGTTGCAAAAGACTGCAGAACGGCGGTATTTCTTAGTGCTTGTTTTTAATATTTTAATCCTGTAAGTTTCTCTCTTCCAGAGTTCTGTTTGTGTCTCCAATTTATCCTGTCTATATCTACAGCTATCTTAGTTTTCTGTCAATCTTTGCTTGTTACATTTTTGGTTATTTTTCTTCTCTACACCACATATCTTCTTTCTCTTTTTTACAAACCCTTTTAATAATATTTTCACTCATCTTTTTCATTACAATTTTCAATGCCAGCTTTAATCTCTATTATCTTACTATATATATGGTGTTATTTATATACTTGCTACATCTTTCTCTTATATTTTCTCTCTCGCTTTCTTTCACTTTTTCACGAACTTTCTTTAGATGAACTCAAAACACGTTGCTGCAATATACATAGATTTCTGGGTTATATTTGATAACCTATTGCAAGTTCCAGAACTTTCTTTCTATATATCGAAACTTAATTTTTTTTTTTAAATTTTTTTAAAGTTTTCTCTTTCTTTTTATTTGCTATAAACCCAAGTTTTTTCTTCTTGTCCTACTTTTTCGTCCTATTTGCCCTTATGTTTCTTTTTCTTGTTAATTTTTTTTCTACCCATTGGATTTTTCCCACGTCGCCTTACGGCTTTAAAATTAATATATTCGTAAATAAATAAATATATATATATATATATATGTAAATAAATGAAATTGTTTATATTATAAGTAGCAATATTACTTTTAGAAAAATATATAAAATCAGTAATTAAGCGGCTATGACAAGCTCAACATATATTAAATATATATAGACATATTATATTATATTACCACAAAATATTTAATATTTATATAAAAAAATAATAAAATATTTTAAATTTAATAATTATTATTTCATAAATTAATCAGTTTAAATATTGAAAATAAAATGACAAAATTATTTAAACATAACGTGTGATCTGTGTATGAAATTCTGATAGACAAATCTGTAATTGGGTGAAAGTGGGACGCTCGTTGGGTAGTGAGGCCCAGCAATAAGCCATAATAGTGAACCTGAAAATACAAAAAAAAAAGGAAAAACAAGAAAAGAATAATTTTAATAATTTATTACAAACATTGCTTGCTTATTAAATACAGTTTAATGTTTTTTATATAGCTGAAGGCCTCAGTAGCCAGAGCTATATCTGTACTATATCTATAGTTTTATAAACTAAACTAAACTATCATTATTAATAAATAATTAGAAATGTTTCTTAAAATACTTTTTTATATACGAAAATGAGTTTCCTATACTTACAATTCATCAGGACAATTGTATGGTTGAGCCAAACGATAGCCATCCTTAAGGTAGTGTTCCATCTCGTAGGGATCGATTTCGGCATATGGTAATTTACCCAATGTGCACATTTCCCACATCAATACACCGAATGACCAAACATCACTGCCTTCATTGTAGTGTTTCTTTTGTATAGCCTCTAGTGACATCCATTTTATGGGACGATTCTCACCATCACCCAAGCAATTATAATCAGCTGGGAATAAGTCACGGCTAAGAGAACTATCGGCCAATTTAACACGCAATTGATCATCAATACTATAATTAGAAAGAAGTAAACGATCACTTATCTATCTTTTCATAATTTGTGAAGAAATTATAGAATATGCTATTCAACTAATCAAACAATCCACCATGAGCGTAAAAAAGTGAGCTCATGCATTCCATATTTATCATATTATATATATATTCTCGTGATTATTTTATGTAAAGTTAGTTTTAATGGTAATGAAAAATAGTTTTATTCAGATGTTTTTAAAAATTCTTTCTTTTGTGGAACGTATTTCAAAGATACATATTCTTCCACAAACTTTTTATGGAACATACTTTATTTTTTTATATCCTGTGATAAGACAGCTGTTTATAATAATTGAATAAACGTTAAAAATCTTTTCAATGGAAATATTATGAAATATGTTGTCCAACTATTTACGCAATCCACAATAGGAGTAGTCAACTGTGCTAATGTATTCCACATTTATCATATTGTATATGGTTTTCCAGTAAACTTTTAATGTATATGTTTATGTTTATCAAATAACGAAGAACCAAGTTCTCTCGATTCTATCGTATTACTATGAAAATTATCTCTATAAAATATTTCTTATATACAATGGGCTTTAGTGAGGAAATTTGTGAAACTTATGTATAGTATTTTGATCACACAAGCATATATACCATATATAGTAAAATAATTGATCTGGAATATATTTAACACCTTACAAATGGAATGTTTTGTGTTGAATACTGTGGATCTTGAGTACTTTGTGGCATTTATTGTAGATCTTATGAGGATGAGATAATTTTATGGAATATACTAAGGTATTCGAACTAAATTTGATTACTCACTAATTTAACGTTCGATTAGCTTTTCAGTGTAATCTGTTATAATTTTGCTTAAATTGGTATAAATGCCTTTGTCGAATGAATTTGTAAAAATAAATATAATTAATGAAATAAATTATTTTATTTAATAAATAAAATAAAATAAAATACAAGAAAATAAAATATTTTATGTAGATTAATTTTACCAAGATATGTCTAATTGCTTTGTTTTTTACGAGTGGAACTTATTTTTTCGATGTGGAGTATTGACAAAATTCATAATTTTGAAGTATTGAAATATTCAGAATTACTCACTACTCATTCTATAAATGTTATATAAAAAAAAATAGCAATAAAAAATACCAAGATTGTGAATGTGTATTGAATACCCCAATATTCCACAAAAAGATTTGAACTTTTTTTATAAACTCTTTGCAAATGCATTCCACAAAAGTATAAAAGTCATTTTAATGACACTCTCGGTAACTAGTTGAGTCCGTATTCAGTAGACATTTCCATAAACACATTTTACATAAAAGTATCAATATAATCGGTAAGGGTACTAAGACTCTTACTGAGTCAACGTACTGCCGACTTTCCAGTTTCCGTCTGAGTCACTTTTTTTATGATAAGTTTTTGTGGAATGACTTTATAAATATATGGTAAAAAAACTGCTATTCCTAAATTTATTTTAAATAGTTTTTTTAAACGTAAAATATTAAAATATTTATTTTTGTGTTTTATAGAAATAAACTTTTTTATCAGTACTACTTACACGCAGTTCCGAGCAGCAACATCCTTATGTATGACTCCGTGATTATGTAAGTGTTCCATTGCCATGGCCAATTGTGAGGACATCAACACAGTTTGTATGGTAGTAACGCTACGAGCATATGATGGTTCTTGTAGGAATAACTTTAAATTACGTGCATTACTGCCAGCAGTGTAGAGTACGAAAGGAGTTGTGAAATCCTCAATCGAAACACCGAGAATAGAGAGCACATTGGGATGTGAAGCCTCATACAACATTAATCCCTCTTGCAATAGTAATGAAACCTGCAACTGATTTGCGTGTTGTGCAACAGTCTTTACTAAAACTTCTTGGCAATCATTATAAGTGCCACGATAAACGCGTCCATAGGTGCCCTCTTGTACAAGGCACGACAAACGTACGCGACACTTCTGCACATTCAACTCATTCAGACGCCGATTGAATTCCTCCGGCTCATGCTCATACTCACGGAATGGTCGTGTTAGTGTAGCATATGTAGGCGTAATAGTAGAGGGACAAACATAAATCGAATTGTGTGCCGTTGATGAAATGGTGGGCAAACGTTGGAAACTTGATGTCTTAATTAAATGCACACCATGATTTTGGCGTTTGCTTGGTCCTTTTGCACAATAAGCGATGATTATAAGTGATGCTACCAGTAACAATGCCAAAATACCACCAATTATGAGAGTAACAAGCCCACCAGTGGGTGGCACAATAGTCTCCTTCAACATGGGATCAAACGCATTCAATACACCAGTCGAGCCAACACCCAATTCATTGCCATGCATAACGTTATGTTCTTCATTCGATAAGTGTTCGTTACCAGTTTCGGAAGAGTAAACATTGCCGGAAGCATCAACATTACCATCATGTTGGTCATGTAACCCAGCACCATCAATACCATGAGCAGTATCAACATCATCTGGACCATCACTTAAACCATGTAAATCGTCCTGTACACCGGCCAAGCAAATTTTCTTACGGCGAAATAGCAGGTCCGTTATGTTATTCGTTTGTCGGTCCAATATAATCTCAATGGCGATGGTCACTTCAACTTCAGCGTCACGTGTACCTGAGCATTTCATGCCAACAGTGAATGTCTGCAGCTCCAATGGAATTTCACCGATGCGCGAAATATTCAATGTGGGTCGTGGCAGCACCGATGGTTCTGATGTTATTATATTGATGCTGTATGGCAAACGATGATGCGCCAAGCTCTGCCAAGTGAAAGAGATATCGCTGACGTTCGCCGGTACTGGTACGGCAAAATTCAATGCATAATCATTGACTTGGCCATCGCGCACATAATACAGTTCAGCTTTGATACCTGTAAGAAGAAGATAAGGTGAGGATTATTTAAATGAAAATCAAGAAGGATACAATAAAATGAAATCACAAACGTTGAACGAGCAGATAAATTAATAATTCTGTATATGCGTTGTAGGGGGCGCGCCGAAGGGCATGCAAAAAAATGCTGAAAATTAAATGAAAGCAGTGTAAGCACTATAATCTGTGGATGCTGGAAAAGTTGTGAAAGCTGCAGGGAAACCCCACAGTAACAGCATTTCAAATAAGTTGCGGCTTAGAATATTTTTATATTTATTTTTTTTTTCCTTCTATTCTATTCTACCTTAAGGTAAACAGTTGCGAACGACTTGAATTTGTAGTTAGTTGCAGGTGATAGGATTAGTTTTATTAAAAACAGAAACTCTAATAAAATCAACGAATTGGAAAAATAGAAAAGTGTCAACGGATGAGCTTGTAATGGAAATTTGAAAACTTTGGAAAAAATCGAAGTTTCGGAATAGTAGAGCTGGAATAATAGAGCTGGAATAATAAAGCTTGAATAATAGAGCTTGAATAATAGAGCTGGAATAATAGAGCTGGGATAATAGAGCTGGAATAATAGAGCTGAAACAGTAGTGCTGGAAAAGAAGAGTTAGAATAGCAGATTTGGAAAAGAAGAGCTGAAATAGCAGAAGTGGAAGAGAAGAGCTGGAATAGTAAAGTTCGAAAACAATTTTAAAACCAAGTTCGAAAAATAGTAACTGATCCTGATCCTTAATATTACTAAGCTATGTCAACGGTTACGTTTTGAGGAAGTAAGGTAATATATCACGAATGAATGGATTTACTCAAATGTTGCTTTATGACTTCAAATAAAAATATGTTTCATATGTAAATATTATATTAAACTATTTCAAATTTATTTAATTTTTTTGTAAGCATATATTATAACAATGATGCCTAAAAATAACATCACATAAATAATTGCGATATTTTTATTAACAGACATAATTAATTTTTCAGCATACATACATAAAAGCCACTGTTTAAATTTTATAACTCTTTTTAATTATTTCTAAATTTTAAATATTAATGCTTTTCATAATTAGTCATAATTAGACAATTATCATGTTAAAAGCAATGATGGCGCCAGAAATAATTAAAGATGGTCTAAAAGTAAAGCCGAAAAATCCTATTATTCTATGATTTCTCCATTGCTTGTAAAAGAAATGGTTAGTGATCGACAGATGTGAGGACCTGTCGAACTTGTATGAATCTATCCAATTACTATATGATATCCTCCCTGATGAGAAAAATTTCTAAACCGATGAATTTGTCTATAAATAATCTTAGCTATTCTAAAGTAGTTAAATTTAGCCACCTTTCTTTTGCTCTTCTTGTCATGCGCTCGTCCAGGAGTTAATGAATCTCTTTCAAGGGTCTGAGTATTTCACTTTTTCGGTACTCTATTTCTAGAATCTAAAAGAAAATTGTAGTACCTACAACATATTTCAACATATCACTCTAACACGAATTTCTGAGGTTCCAAATTAAAACAAGAAGAGCGATGAAAGAAGGGATTAAGAGAGAAAGAGAGAGAAAGATAGATTGAAACAGCATAAACACCATTTATGTTTAAGATAGCCCAACAAACTCAATCTAGTTCTTGCGAATACCAAACAATAACGCCCAAAGTGTTTTATATTGTCTATACCTCGGGACATGTTAGATCCATAATGTAATTTTAGTTATTTCTTACTAGTAACTCTTCCTCTTATGCAGAATATGTTAGTTTTTTTCATTTTTATCAAATTAGCTTCTATTTTATAACTCGCCAACTTTATCCAACTGATTTTTTTATTCTCGTTGCAGTTTTAATTTGTATATGATACCAAGAACAGGCGTTTTACTAGTTACTAGTCACTTTATACTAGTTGTTCCTTCTTTTATGCAGTATTTTGTTTTCTTTTTTTATTATTGCAAAGTTTATTACTTATTTATGTTTCATTAACTTTCTTTCAATTGATACTTTGATTCTCTTCGCAATTTCTTCTGTTTTGTAAATGGTATCTAAAACTAAAGCTGTTCTAGTCCTTTCGTACTAGTCGTTTTTTCGTATATTTATAATTTTTACTTATAATTTATTTTAATTATGAAATTAAATTACTTTTCCAATTACTTTACATCTGCCTCTCATAATATGTCATTTCTTTGACTTTCGCCTATTTCATCCCCCCCCCCACTTCTGGTTCCACTATCTTCATAGCTTTTCAATTTTTTATTCTCGTTTCTAACTCACTGCGTCCAGTGATGTTAAAGCGAGTATTTAAAACTGTCACAATGACAGTGTCATAATCAATTTAAATTAAAATTAATTTGCTGTTCACTTGACTTCGACTTCAATTCAGTGGCACAACAACAAAACGTCATTACAACAAGGAAAAAATTTTAAATATTTCTCTTATAAAATGCAAAAAAAAAAAACATGAATAAATAAAATATAGACGCAGATGTAGCGCCAATCAAGCAGTAAATTAGCGCAAATCATTTGAAACCAACGAAAAGACAAGAAATAAAATCGAAGATAAAAGACATTTTGCATTAAAAAAATATTTCTGTGCAAATTCAATTGCAAAAATTTGATTTAAATTTTTTGATATTGTCTTTGTCAGATACTTTAAACTTCACACAGATACTCAGACACACATACACACACGCAAATACGAGACCGACCATAGACTTTAACAATGTGTGAAGCGGCGACATTCAAAGTGGACGAAAGTGACAAAGCAACACTTGGACGTAACTATTCGTTTTGTTTTACTAGTAAATACCAGAGTCGTCGGTCTGTAAATTCTATTCTAAATTCTCTACTTATTTTTACTAAATGGTATCAATTGATGAACCATTAAAAAGCTGTTATTAAGCAATACTGCTCAATTTATAATGATACCGGAAATCCGATAACTGATTTTTATGGCCAATGAAATAAGTAATAGTATTACTTACTACTAATGGCTGGCTCGACATAAATTATCACTTCTCTCCCATTGAAATTGACGGCGAATAGTCTCTATTCTATCAATCAAACCTTACTTAGCTCTTCTCTCTTTAATATAATCATTGATAAGCACACATATATGTTTCTTCTCTTTGAGATTGTCTGATCTCAATGGATGCTACATATAAAATAAATTATGATAAAGTCTTTCTAGTTAATAGTAAAAAAAAGGATCAAATCCCATTTATTCTTGCAACTGTTTTCTTTTTTGTTTTTTATTATAATTGTTTAATGATTAAGTCTATAGTTGATAGTCTTTAATTAAGTTGTAAAATCCTACTTAAGTGTGTATAATTGATCATTTTCGCATGTTAAAAATACAGTTATTAAACATGATTCACAATTGATCCAGTTGTAGATCGAAATCTACTCCTTTTCCAATTAATGAAATCGAACAATGAATTGAATCATAAGCTTAACAGATCCTCTATCGAAGATGGAGGCTACATAAACTGGTCTTAAACATGAACTAGTGGTTTAAATCTGCTAAACTTAACCAGTGACACAGATCCTTTGAATCAATGGTATAGAAACTGAACCAATGGTGCAGAAACTGAGCCTATGGTACATATCCTCTAAACTGAACCAATGGTTTATATACTCTGACCTGAACAAATTATCGAGTGACATTATCCAGTGATTCAGATCCACTGAACTAAAGCAATAATTCAGATCCACTGAACTAAATTAGTGATACAGATCCACTGAAGTTAATCAACGATTCAGATCTACCGAACTGAACCAATGATTCCGACCCACTAAACTTAATCAGTGATTCAGATTCACTGAACTGAAGCAGTGATTCAGATCCTCTGTTCTGAAGCAATGATTCCAACCCATTGAACTTAATCAGTGATTCAGATCCACTGAACTGAACCAACGATTTAGATCCACTGAACTAAATTAGTGATACAGATTCACTGAAGTTAATCAACGATTCAGATCTACCGAACTGAACCAATGATTCCGACCCACTGAACTTAATCAGTGATTCAGATCCACTGAACTGAACCAGTGATTCAGATCCTCTGACCTGAACCAGTGATTCTGACCCACTTAACTTAATTAATGAGTTAGATCCACTGCACTAATCCAATGCTTTAGATCCACTAAACTTCATCAACGATATCAGATTTACCATACTGAACCAGTGATTGAGATCCACTGAACTGAATTAGTGATTTAAGTCCACTAAACTAAATCAGTGATATAGATCCACTGAACTTAATCAGTGAGTTAGATCCACTGCACTAATTCAATGCTTTAGATCCACTGAACTTCATCAACGATATCAGATCTACCAAACTGAATCAGTTATTGAGATCCACTGAACTGAATTAGTGATTTAGATCAACCGAACTAAAGCAGTGATTTAGATCCACTGAATTTAGCCACTTTAAATATTTATGTCGCCAACAAACTCGATCTTAATAAGTGTAGGTAATATGAAGTTCAAGGGTTCGAGAAAGATAGGTAATTTCAAAAATAAAATCTAAACGATATAAAATATAGGACATTCCATTTAAGGGGAGGAATTCTTTTAAACCCTTCATCTGGTAACACCCATTTAACTCAGTTTCATTTTAAAGCCAATTTGAATTCTTAAACAATTGAAATTTTGTGTTAGCACCACGCCGCGCCGCCCACCGCCATTGTCTGTTTGCTTGACGCTGTGCATGTTAATGGTGTTGCATGCACACTACACACTACTCACTACACACTACACAATACACACAAGTTCATGTAAGAGTGGAACTGCAATTACATTGGTCACTGTTGCTAATATCGCAATGGTTCTGTTATTGTTGTTGTTTATTACAGTTGCGGTTGTTAAGCTGTTATTGCAGCACATACAATTCAGTTTATAATTACGACTACGACACCAACGAAACGACATAAAGCAAAACACAAAGCGGAAAAAAAAACAAAACAAAAAAAAAACAATGGGAAAAAGTGGAAGAGCAATGCTGTGTTGCCCC